TTTGGAGGATCTTAGCATTGATTATAAGAAGGCCTAGTTTGCCTCACTATAGTTCATAAATGTTATTTGACCTGAAGAAGAGGTATAAGCTTCGGTGCAACTGTGGTGAGCGCTACTTATAATCCGATATAAGCAGTATATCAGAGACGAAGTAAAAATATGTTTCGCACACTGGAAAGAGCAATCAAAGAAGAGAACCATGAGAAGAATGTTGCCATATGATACAGAATCCAAGAAGCTATCGAATGAGACGATATTCGACCAATTCGTCAAGGATGTGGTAAATGATGTGCAAATGGCCGGTTGAGAATATGTTATACCAAATTTAGCTATGTACCATACGTTTCACCAAATAAACATTCCTTTCAGCCTCTTCAGTCTTGTCTTCTTTACATTTGGTGTCGCTGACTCTGCCGGAGATGAAGGTGCCGTGGCCGCAGGTGTTCGAGGAGGGAGATGTGCGGACGTTCCTCAGGGACTTCGAAGCTGTCGCGGAGCTGGCTGGAGTGCAGGAGCAGAAGGCGAAGCTGGTTGTCTTGGGAACGCTGCTGAGGGGCCGCGCGAAGGCTGCGTACGGCAACGCTCGGGAGATTGAAGGTGAGGCGCCGTGTGTTGACACTTGCAGAACAGAGGTATTCTACGGTGGAAAAGGAGTGATTAGCCATTGTATGGGCACTAGAAAAATGGAGACCATATCTGATCGGCCGCCGATTCCACACTGAGACCGACCACAAACCTCTTCAGTGGTTGAAAACAGCACGGGATCCACGAGGGAAGTTATCACGATGGATGTTACGCCTACAAGAGTATGACTTCACGATTGGACATATTCCGGGAGAAGAAAATGTAATAGCTGACTATTTGTCGAGTTCAGATAATGAGACTGAACTACCAGAGGTAGCGTATGCAGTAAACGCTTTGGAGCAAGATCCCTTACAACTTGTTCGCCACCAGAAGTCGGATCCTACTCTTAGGACAGTCATTCAGATGATACGTGAAGGGAAAGAAATTGAAATGGCAGCAGAGAATAGAGAGTTAAAGATGCTACTGCAGCAAAAACATAGACTCAAACTAAACGCTGCCGGCGTCCTAACTTGGAAAGACAGTGATGGTAGCTGGGTTACAGTGATACCAAAAAGCCTTCGTCGTGGGGTCATTCAAGAACGCCACCAACTAGCCCATACAGGAGTTGCACGAACATACGACCTAGTGAGCCAAAGTGCATACTGGCCAAACATGAGAGGCGATATTGCAAACTACGTACTCGCTTGCTCACAGTGTCAATTGATGAAGGGATGATCGGTTCATTCGACCACAGCTACAAACGATACCCGTAACGGCGGTTGGTGACTTATGGTCCGTGGACATAATGGGTCCTTTCCCTCAAACAGCAAGTGGAAATCAATACATTTTAATGATGACGGAACACGCCACGCGGTGGGTAAATGCTGTAGCGATTCCAGATCAGCGCGCCAAGACCGTAACCGAGGCGGTCATTCGACATATTGTGGCGGACCATGGTGTACTAAAAATAATATTGACAGATCAAGGCCCCTGTTTTGAGAGTGAGGAGTTCAAGACTCGTCTGGAGGCACTGGGTATTAAGGGGATTAGAGCGACTCCGTATCATCCGCAGATAAACGGCTTAACCGAAAGGGACAATCGTACACTCAAGGAATGGTTAGCTGCGAAAAGAGGCAACTGGGAAACTGACTTACCGTTGGTATTACTAGCACATCGTGCCACAGTACAAGGGACAACAAAAAAGTCGCCTTTCCAGCTGATGTATGGGAGGAAACCACGCTTACCGGTGCACCATAACACCTGGCCACAACAACAAAAATGGAACAGTAAGAGATGGACAAGTGAGCGGAAACAAGCTATTCAGAATATACAAGAGAGGCGCAAGAAAGACATCGAAAATTATGGCAAGAAACAAATCAAAGCTTGGAAGCCCTTTGAAGTAGGTGACCAGGTGAAATGTAGAGAACGAAAGTAAACTACCGGAAGTGGACCAGGATCAGGAAAGCTTCTGCCGAAGTGGGAGGGACCATATGTGATCACATCGAGACGCGGTCCAGTGTACACAATAAAGAGAGGAGATAAAGAGAAAAGAGTAAACGCCAGTCTGCTACAAAGATGGAGAGAAGAATGTCAAGACGAGGTACCAGAAGAGCAGCAGGATGAAACGTCTGTGCGGCGATCAAGGCGGTTACAGGAGAGACTTTATAATGAGGTGGTGAGTGTGGTGAGTGCTACTTATAATCCGATATAAGCAGTATATCAGAGACGAAGTAAAAATATGTTTCGCACACTGGAAAGAGCAATCAAAGAAGAGAACCATGAGAAGAATGTTGCCATATGATGCAGAATCCAAGAAGCTATCGAATGAGACGATATTCGACCAATTCGTCAAGGATGTGGTAAATGATGTGCAAATGGCCGGTTGAGAATATGTTATACCAAATTTAGCTATGTACCATACGTTTCACCAAATAAACATTCCTTTCAGCCTCCTCAGTCTTGTCTTGTTTATACTGCTACGTGGAAGTGACAGTTCACACAACACTGTTTGTTAGTCGCCGGCTGAAAATCTAGAACCCACCGAGGTTGAGATGGGACCGATATCGTGACAGAGTATTAATTCCAGTACGTTGTCACCTCTTGTCGGGATAGTGACAGTTTTTTTCCAGCTGAAAATGTCCAGTGTACCTAAGAGCTTGTCACATTTAGTTGGGCCTGCTAATAAATCCCAGTTGAATTCGAGTAGGTTGAAGTCTCCACATACGATCTTATGCTCGTATGGAAGAGTGGACTTTAACTGTATATCCTTGAGCTCGCTAGACAATCTTCTACACTCTTTCCTAATTAGGTGGTGAATGCGCTTCCACTCGTCGGAATAGGTTTCGTCGCTTCATTTGGCCACCGACATTCTTTCAAAATACACTTTCAAAATCGACGAATATCGCCCTTTATTATGTGCGCCATAGGTTGGGGATCCTGGTAATCAATTCGGTACGAGGGCTGATTACTGAGGTAGGTTGGATGCTCCTCAGAGTGGTGGAGGAAGTAAAGTACTTGTGCAAGGATTACAATGAAGTATCTGCTCAGGGATATAATCCGGTAAATGGAAGAATAAATCTCCATGTAAATACGCAACAAAATAACAGTACAATCATATCGTTTGAAATAACTTTTGTGTTCAGGCAATTTACGTTCGATTCAGGAATAGAGGTAATCATCTTCATCCCAAAATTCTACCTTATGTGCACCACAATGTTTTGATACAGTAAAGCAATTTGGTAGTGCTGCTTCATGGGTTGGGAAGAATAATACATTAGTTGACATGACTTAGCTGTTATTCTGTGGTTTTTAAATGAAAAATTAACAGCTGCTTAAAACAGAGAGAGATAGCTTTAGTTGTTCTGGTTTTAATATGTCATTCTTGGTTCAGAAATAGTTTTGAACCGAGAAACTCAGAAACTTTTATGAAATACTCCGTTTTCATGATGATGAAATGACACCTTTCCTAAGCCTTTAGTAATAGGGTGTTGTGACTGAACACTAGTTATTCGCTAACGTTGCACTTTTAGTCGCTCATTTGATGCAGACCGATTTCTATCATATAAGTTTTTACTGTGCCCTTTATTCGACCTGAAACTAACGTAGCATTAGGATCATGTTTTGGGTTACTATCTGGTGTCCAGTCGGAGTACCAACCACAGTCATACAGAAGGGCAGTTGCGTGCTCGAACAACTCTGACGTAATGTCTTTGACTAAAGCACTGGGTGATCTGGGTCGCAACCTTAGTAGGCACACTTTTCCTTCAAGAATGCGGACACACCTGAATGACGGATGCCAACAAGCATGGACCCCAGGCTGATTGCCTTCAAAAATCTAGCAACTGTTGAGGTATTGAGAATACTAGTCCTCACTAATTGACCCAAAGTAGTCTTTATGAAGTAGAATATTGAAGTGAGCTTATTGCGTACATGTAACACAACTCATGTACGAAAGAAAACATAGTGATTTATCGCTATTCCCTTGGGTATCACGTGGAAAATACGGTTTCTGCCGCACATCTTTATTTTTATGCTTTCTTTTGGGTGTCCTAACCCTTATATCTTTATTTCGGATAGGTGATGTTAATACGTAACTGTATACGAACTCGTATTTGCACACCTGATATCTATGGTCGGCCTGATAAATTTGGGCTACCGATGTCACATGCTGAAAATTTCATACTTGTACCAAAATACTGTGTGGAATCAAGCTGTAATAAAATATAAAAAAATACAAAAATATAAATACCACCCGACTGATTACCTTGATTGTGTAATAACTTTTTCTTCATTGAATCTACTTACTGTAAAACCGAATCTCAACAAAAATAGATATTGCAGAGATTAGTATGTGCAACTATCCTTATATCCTTACTACTGGCCTTTCGCTTCGACCTTGCCCATTCAACTTTGAATTGTAACACTTACCGAGTGGTACTTTCGAAAAGGTTTGTGCTTTTTTGGGTTGATTTAATTAGTCGTTTTGATCGGCTATTCGGTGTATAAAACCATAAGTAGACATCAATTTAAGTATTTTTATACAAGTCTATATGAAGTGCTGAGTAAAATCTTCTCTATCACTGGTCACTGTTCTTGGTTTACTCCATATAGCTTTATTTTCTGCGAATTTAGTGTTTAACATGGCATGATATACGTATTCATGAGGGAAGTGTAGATTATTGTACAGAATAATAGTGTGCATATTATTCCATCCAAATTAAACAGTCAGAACAGAGGCATAAATCATGGACATCTGTATTTTATTATGGAATTCTATGACAGCTACTCAGGATTTTATATCAGAGGTTATATGAATGACATATAAAAAAATTCATTTCACCAGATAAGGGATAATTTAGATATATGATCCCATCACTAGCTGGAAAATTAGCATGTCTAACCTCGTTGGATTGTATTCTTCCTATTATTCCTGTCTCCTGCTGTTTCCGTGTGTGCAGTTTTGCCTGAACTTAGTCCCCAAGTAAGCTTTTGTATTATTTCCTTGTTACTTGAAATTTAATTTTTCCCTAATAACCGTCTTCATGTATTGAAAGTAACATATCCACATTGTAGTCCTGCCGTTTTGTTCTGCAGATTGGTCCAAACTTCTTCAGGGATATGATTAAAGTTTTCAAAACTTGTAGGTTTAAATTAATGGAAGTTCTTATCTCACATCCGAACGCATAGTTCATTTATGTTTTAAACATGAAAATGGTCTTATTAATCATATTTCTCAAACGAAACATTAGAATTACTTATTGCAATATCCCTAAGATTTCTACAAATGAACATTTTATGGTTAATTTTCAATTGGTGCCTAATTTTCATGGAATTGTTAGGTCAAATTTTGACCACAGATTTCAATTGCGAATGGGGAAACAGCATTGTTTACATATCAGTTAAGTGTTTGTGACCGGTTTCAGTGGGAAATTATCATTGGTGAGCCGTCGTTTAGTGTGACAATCATTATGTCAACAAACCTTTGGGTCACGTAGGTGATTTATGATCTCAGAGACTTCCTGAATTTCACCTTTGCTTCTGAAAGCATCTTGAGACATAAATGTTTAGAATTTGCGTTTGGCAAAGCTTAAGTGTGAGCAGGATAATTTACTTTCAATAAGAAACTTCACAGTACTTTCACTAAAGTGATACTTAAGAACAGATAAATCACTAAAGCGGTCTCTTTTTGTAAATTCACTCCATTTATATATTCTTGACTACATGACATGGGGATTTTTCATACTTTAAAGTGGCATTATCAGTGCTAAATGTTATGATAATTTGACTAAATATTCACGCTGTGGGTATTTGTACTAAGGCCTATGTCAGAGAGTAACATTTACTTATTTGAAAAATCTTAGGCGTTGGAAAAATAAAACATTATATATATATGTTACAAAAGCTATTGTACAGTAGTACAGTAGTATGGAAAGCAAGTTGTTTTTTAGTGTTATCTGACCGACAGAGTTTCAGTAGAGAAATCTGTACAGAAGCGCAGCAGTTCAAGTTGCCACAGTCCATATGACACGATAGTAGGAGAGAAAAACCCAGAGGTAGTAGTGAATGGAAATGTACGAAACAGACAATAAAGCCATGGATAATATGCAGAATATAGTGGGTTTAGTTCATAAATAGTGAAAGCACCTGCGTCATTGAAAAGGATTTTGAGACACATCACCAATATTGCCCAACCATTGCTTCCTAGCGTCTCGAGGATCGCAGTCAGACAGTCCACACCTCTCCACTTGGTTCAAACCAACAGTCAAACACTTCATGAATTGATGCGAGGTTTCGACTTGACCAGATCTAACTCCTCGCACTTGATTCAATGTTAGCTTAAGTCGCTAAACGAGGAAGGCTAAAACTAGGCATGAGCAACACGTGTCCTAGCCGTCTCAATCGATGCAGCTTCACGACTTCAGTTAACTTTCCACCTTACCTAACACTCCACTCATCTTCCTTATTACTTACTTTACTGCGGCTATCTCCTACAGGAGGATGAGCCGGCTTCATGAACGTCTCGAATCATCGCTGCTCAGGCGCGGCGATCTGATGCAAGGTTTTGCGTTGTAAGAGGGTTCATGAAGTTTCATGGGAATTTGGTACGAGTGATGTCCCCAGAATCGCTCGGCCTTTTGTTTGAGAGTGCAGCTCTAGCCTTTACACAACCAAGTGTGACCTACAAGGCAGTAGGAGTGGAGTAAGGAGTCCACTATCCATTGGCAGCCGGTGACCGGGGTTCGGTTCATACGCCTTTTTGAGTGGGGCCAGACATCCAGGACATCCAACAAGCCCTTTGTCCATACGTCTGCCGGTGAGCTCCAGTGAGCTTCATACGCCAGTCGTTGGAGGTTTGGAATCAGGGTTTAGCCATCTCCCCTAGACTGTCATCCAGTGGACAGTCAACCCGGTGAAGAGCGCCGGGCATCCGCTTTCGCCCTCTCACCTTGGTGAAAAAACACCTCCGCCACGCGAAGGCAGTGAGTAGGACTTCCTCAGGAGAGGCTATGTAAGACGCCCGGTCATATGGGAGCATTTCAAGAGGTGTGCGGAGGGGTGGCCAACCCGCAGCGCAAGGCACCCACCCCCGACCATCCTGAGGCTTTGGAGGCATCTTCCTTATTGCTCATTTTTGTACCACTAATCATAGAAAATACAACTCAAACACCTGTTGTGAAACACACCTGGGCACTTCATTTCTTCTACTTTCAAGTATTATGTCAGCCATAAAGGAGGACGAGACGAATGGCTGCATAGCAGACACGTCCTTTGATGGATAGCAGAATATCATATCTACGCCGGAAGTTTTGTAAGCTGTCAAATGCTACACGAGCCGTGTGTATCTGTGTTGAGATTTCGTTGGCAATCAGCCGGTTGGAATCACACTCAACCATTTCACTCCTTATCGTTAAAGTAGGAGTCCGTTCAGACCAGTCCTGCAGCATCAATTCACATTTGACACGTTAGTGTTAGCGACTTAGAATTTAGTTATCTATACCTTATACCATAAAAAGGAGTCTCACCTACCATGAGTGCTGGTAATACCACCTAGTTGCTCGGCTTAAAGAAGGTATATTAGGGTTTTGTCTGGAAACCCACGGAGTGAAAAACAAGTTCTAAAGTCCATGAATCACATCTTTACCAGCCAATCGGTGTACATATTGGGATAATAGGAACCGAAAAATTAAGCACCTCTGTAGATATTAAAACCTCTTCTAAATTTTTTTAAAGAAAAGAATAGAATGTGGAGATGTGTCTTATAATCTTTCGGCCAGTAGGTACCGAGTACTAATCCCACCTGCACCTACTTCTACCTGAACAACTGAGTAGTATCATTAATCCATACAATGACTGGCACTTGAGTTATTTGTTCTCTGGATAATGGAATCGGAACAAAACTATCAAATAAAAATGGAACACAGTAGATTGACTAATGGGATTGTTGTGTTCCAGTTTCATTTTCACTCGTTGACAGTACTTCTGAAATATTTATCTTAATCGACTGTAGGTTCTTCGTTGAAATCCGCTTTAAACCCTGATATGAAATCTGGGATTTATTGTGAGACGACGAGTTATCTTTGCTTTCGATTGTCTTTAAACAGTGGGGTGACGTGTTTGAACATTCATATGGTGGGGTATTGGCATAAGAGACTGATAAAATCAATAACCTTGTTTCATGTTCCTTTAATTCTCATCATCTATGGGAAACCAAGTCGTTAAACAAGGTTATTCTAGTTGAGTAGGAAATCATGTCTCAACTTTTGGGTTGTACGAACTGACAAGATCTCAACATGAATACAAAAGGATTGTGTAACCTAGAGTGATATGGATATTTGCTGTGTTATATAGCAATTTGCTTTGTATTTTTACCACATGAATTACCCGTCATTATAAATCCGTGACTAAATGCCCACTGGAAAGAGATAAAAACATGACGTTTGAGAATGTATTATAAATTTTTGAGTATCTAAAAATATTCGTGCCTTGGGGAAGCTGAAATATTGTTTTTATGACCATGAAGCCACTCACAGTCTCTACTGTAATATGTTCATTTTTATCAGTCGTTGACATTTTGACCACTGAGTTGCTTGTGGTCAACTTCACGAAATCATACTGCTTGTTAACTACACAGAAAGATATAGAGGTATTTCTGCGATCATAGTTTGTTATTATTGATGTATACAAGCTTAGTCGACGTTGTGTGAAGGCGATGACTAAGATTTTACTGGCAGGGGCTATAACATCGGAGAAACATGAGGAAATTTCGAGCAAAAGACAGGAGTCTATCCATTCCCGACCGTACCAGGTGATTTATAGGGAGATGGCATGATAGCAGTTGTCAGTTACATTAACCGACTTAAATTTCTCAATTTCACTTAATGTTTTTTAATAACTCAATATTAACTATTATTTGTGCTGACCCCATCAGTTTTTTAATCACTGTTTATTATTTTACTCTAATAGTTTTCCTTTATCTTCAGAAACACATTTGTCTATCTATATATACCATTCGATCTATCATCCTTCTCCTTTCCATGTTTTATTTATTTATTTATTCGTGTGTAACTGTTTACATGCGCTATAAATATCATAGCAATATCATGTCTCTTCCTTGAAAATAGACACACTTTTTGGCGTCCAACAACTGTCATGTTTCTTGATTTGAAGGCGGCCTTCGACTCCGTGGATCGAGAGGTTCTATGGCAATGTTTGACTATGAAGGGAGTGCCAAGAAAGTACATTGCACTAATCAAGGCACTCTACTCAAACTCACGTAGCCATGTAAGGGCTTATGGGGAATTGTCATCCGAATTGATAACAACCAGTGGTGTCCGTCAAGGATGTCCACTTTCCCCTTTTCTGTTTAACTTCATCATAGATATGCTGATGGAAGTATCCTTAACTGAACTTAACGACTTAGGAATCGACTTGTTACCAGGGAATAGTCTTATGGACTTAGAATATGCAGATGACATAGTCCTGTTAGGGGAGGATGCTGACAAAATGTAGAGTCTTCTGAACACCTTGAGCAGCAATCTTCGTATGTTTGGCATGCGATTCGCCCCTGTGAAATGTAAGATGCTGCTACAGGACTGGGCTACGTCAACTCCTAGCTTAGTGATAGGGAGTGAAGTGATAGAACATGTTGACCACTTCACCTATTTGGGAAGTTGTATCAGCACCGACGGATTGATTGGTGACGAAATCTCAGCATGGATCCAAAAACCTCGGGCTGCTTTCGCTAACTTACACCATCTCTGGCGTAGGCGTGACATCCGGCTATCAACCAAGGAACGTGTGTACTGCTCAGCAGTTCGCGCCGTCCTTCTCTATGGCTCTGAAACATGACCGATACGAGTTGAAGACATGAAAGGGTTGACTGTTTTTGATCATAGATGTCTACGATCTCTTTCTCACGTTAGGTGGTATAATAGGGTAAGTAATGTTAACGTTAGGCGTAGAGTGTTGGGCGAAGAGAGAAAATCAATCGACGAGGCCATAAAGTTACATAGATTGAGATGGCTAGGTCACGTGCTTCGCGTGCTAACCATCGCCTCCTCCGACGGGCATTACTAGCTGATATAGGTGCAGGTTGGAAAAGAGTAGGTGGTGGCCAAACAAAAACATGGCATCAATCAATCCATGAAATCCCTGACAGTTAAACTGAGTCAGGTAGGGAGATGCAGACTTTCGGGTTGGGGCCCTCGGGACTAAAAGAATCAATGGCTGGAGACAACAGGTGACATGGCTGAAAATCGTTGTCAATGGCTTACGCAGATGTATTCAGTCTCTGTAATCTTTCATATTCCTTTCTATACTTGTCAAAACTCTATTGATTCTCTTTACTCATCTTCTTGTCTACCTTTGTGTGCTATTTGGAACGTGGTAACTCGAAGTGGTGCACTTGGGTGCCAAGTTCTATTTTGAATCCAGACAGACAGAGACATAACTGTCTTTGATCACAGATATTTGCGTCTTGTCTCCTGTGTTATGTATTGTAATATGGTGAATACTATTGCGATTAGATGTAGACCACTAGGTAAGGTACGTCAGTAAATTCATGAAGTTATGAAGTTACTTCGGTTAAGATGGCTACGACATGTGTTGCGCATTACGAGGCATCGCACCCCTCGATGAGCAAACCGAAACTTGGTATCGACTCATTAAGTCTTTGACCGTTGGTTTTAACTAGACACATAGGGTGGTGTAGACTGCCTGCCTGGTTTAGGACGTCAGGATTCTAAGAACCAATGACTTGACAGTATTGGTGATGTCGGTCGAAATCGTTCTCAATGGCTGACGCAAATGCATTCATTCTCCGTGGCCTTGCATATTCGTTAAACTGTCATGTTTTCCCATGTTATTAATCTTCTTACTGTACATTTCTGCTCATTATAGTTCTCTGTAATCTCTTTTTCTCTCTCTGTCTGATTTCTCTACCTTTATTTGCTACATAGAGTGTGGCAACTTGAACTGGTACATTTGTGCACAGAGTTCTGTGTTGAAACTTAGTCAGTCTTTTATGAATATCAGTTTACTTTAAAGTTTCCTTTTTTATTTCTAACCTCATTGTTTTTATCGTTTTCTCCTCATTCAGGTGTACAGATGAATTATGGCTTCGCGACATATTCCTTATACGGATATGTCAGATATGGGTCGTGCAGCTCAAGAGGTTTGTGATTGCATAACTCTCTGTTTCTCTCACACACCCTATTTCTCCTGTACAGACGGAGATGCAACGTGCTGCTAATCAACAGCTAATTGAAGAAGGTAGAATAATTAAGCATAAAGAATTAGAAAAGCAGAGGCGTGAAGTTTGTCTCATGTGTTATTATAACAAAATTTTTACTATTTATTAGGAGGAGAATGATGAAGACAGTAGCAGTGGACGTCCTGATGTTATTATCAAAGTAAGTTATTTTATTGTTATGTATGTGTATCACTATGAAATTAAATTGTAATCTTTTGTTTTGAAACGTGACATAACAAGTTTCATTTGTCTGGGAGATAGCTGCTATATCAATGTGGCGGTTGGGTATGCATATCGCACTCCAAAGCCTCAGGATGGTCGGGGGTGGGTGCCTTGCGCTGCGGGTTGGCCACCCCTCCGCATACCTCTTGAAATGCTCCCATATGACCGGGCGTCTTACATAGCCTCTCCTGCAGAAGTCCTACTCACTGCCTTCACGCGGCGGAGGTGTTTTTCACCAAAGTGAGAGGGCGAAAGCGGATGCCCGGCGCTCTTCACCGGGTTGACTGTCCACTGGATGACAGTCTAGGGGAGATGGCTAAACCCTGATTCCAAACCTCCAACGACTGGCGTATGAAGCTCACTGGAACTAACCGGCAGACGTATGGACAAAGGGCTTGTTGGATGTCCTGGATGTCTGGCCCCATTCAAAAAGGCGTATGAACCGAACTCCGGTCACCGGCTGCCAATGGATAATGGACTCCCTACTCCACTCCTACTGCCTTGTAGGTCACACTTGGTTGTGTAAAGGCTAGAGCTGCACTCTCAAACAAAAGGCCGAGCGATTCTGGGGACATCACTCGTACCAAATTCCCATGAAACTTCATGAACTCATGTTCATGAAGCCGGCTCATCCTCCCGTAGGAGATAGCCGAAGTAAAGTAAAAAGTAAGTATCGCACTCAACCAATGAGCTACACTGGCTGGAAATAATGTTCCTGTAGGTGTGGCGGTTAGACTAAAACCAGTTGCCGTCATAGTGTAAACTGTTTACATTGTGTTAGGAGTCTGTGGGGAAATAGGGATGTGATAGCAGTAAGGTACTTCCCGCAAATGACTAGCAAGCCGGATATGCTACGTCTACTCTATGGAGAAGAGGAATTACAGAAGGTTGATCCCGAAAATTGCACATCCCGACTTATTTTAAGGGGGTAAAATCTTGGTATAGACGCTACGCCAAAATCCCACTTCAAACAATCCATGTGTGAGACTAGCATGAAGCAGTTGTGTCTTGGGCTCTGCGACCACGAACGTGTCTCAACTTTGATCATATTGACTTGTGACTGCTGGATTCTCATCAGTTTTTCAAGGGGGGATATTGAGTACATCAGTATTCCTTAGCTACTTGCATGGAAAGTGTAACAGTTTAGGCATGCTTAACATACTGCGTAAAAGTTAGCATTGAAGCTATTGTCCACAAAGACAACGAAAGCCTTGCATAAAGCATTTTTGGTTATAAGTATGATCGTTGTCAGACCACTTGTGTTCAGAAGTGTAGCTAGTGGAGTGCTCTATAAGTTATTCAGTTCGGACACAATTACTCAAAACATATTTTTCATGGACCAGGCTATTTTCTTAATATTTTTATTCCTTTACCTTCCCAGTGGGATATAGGGCTTCAAGCTAGAGGCTTGAAATTTCGGTAGCAGTGGTGTTTATCTTTACGGGATGGGGTTGCTAGCCTAATGTCCAACCTTCCCCCTTTACCAGCCTTATTACTGGCTTAGCGATCGAGGTAAAGGAGTGCGTCAGTGGCCGGGGATCGAACCTTGGACCACATGCGCGTGTTTGGGGAGCATCCCACCACTGTGCCACCGACACACCAGGCTACTAGCTGTATTTATTGTGTTATGGCGGATGCTACTACCTAATTGCTCAGGTTAAAGTAGTTGGGTGAAATTCAAATCCAAGGCCAATTGGTTGAAATTTCGATATTTGAACCACCGGGTTCAATCAAGTAGGAGTGTGCTGGCCCACCATAGATCCCAACTGAAAGAGACCCTCTCCTAATATACAGTGTAATCATTGGGACATTAGTTTAACGCTTGATAAACTCAATCATAAGTAAGGAGTTATATTTCTCTTGAGTCTTCAATTCATTCACCCCACGGTTTTTTTATTCTTTCACGTTCCCCAGTGGAACATAGGGCTCCAAGCTTGTGGCTTGAAGTTTCTGTAGCAGTGTATGTTTTACAGGATGGGGTTGCTAGCCTCATGCCCAACCTTTCCTCTTCACCAGATTTTAGTTCTGGCTTAGCGAGGTAAAGGAGTGCGCCGGCCGGGGATCGAACTCCGGACCATGTGCATGGTCGGCGAGCGTCCTTACCGCTATGCCACCGACGCACCCCACGGTTGATCACACCTAATTCAAGTCGAATATTGGTCACTGTTTTTTTTTAAGGGAGTGTATTCAATTTGTGGCTAGCTCTGCTTTTTGTTATAACATTTTGGAAAAAAAACGCATTCATTGGAAGTTTGTTATTTCCTGTTATTCTTTTTCTTTTCATATACGCTTAGGTTAACTCTAGTGGTACATCACGGTTGAGTAGTCAGCGTTCTTCTGTTGATTTTGCATCATCAAGTAGTTCAAGGAATTTAGATGCTCGTGAACTACGTACACAATTAATACAGTTGGAAGAGAAAGTGAAAGGTGCAATGTTATCCAATGTTCAATTGGATAATGATAAACAACTATTAAAGTAGGTCTATTTCTGTGTGTAAAATTAGTTCCCCTGGGTATTGATTTTACGGAGAACTATCAAGATCTCGGGAGTACTAGACAGCCATTTTATTCGAGTTTAAAACTTCCATAGTACACACTGGATTCTATCCCAGTCACCTAATGGTAGCTTGAAGGTTCTGGTTTTGATCCCCATCGCAGTCATAGGCACGTACGAATGAAGAGTCGCGAATTTGGACGAAACACATGTTTTGTACTTCCCGGGTTTTCAATTGGTTCTCTAACTAATATCAGTTAGTGATCTGATTTGAAATCATAGAGTTTTTCCTTAACATCCCCATGATCGAATTAATCTCAGATTACTTTCTGAGGTGTGTGTACCTCATTCACTTACTTAGAGAGCATGTGCAGTCGAGTTAGAACATCTCAGTGAGTTTCTTAGGTTAGGCATCGATTGAGTGCTAGGTAAAGAGGGGAAACCAATTGACGAGACTGTTAAGTTACACCGATTGAGATGGTTAGGATATGTGTTACGCATGCCTAGCCTAGCCGTCGCCTACCTCGACAACAGGCAATGTTAGCTGACATAAGACTGATGAGGCTGGAAAAGAGAAAGCTAGTGGTGCTGATCGAACCAAAACATGGCTTCATCAGTCGATGAAATCCACAACAGTTAGATGAAGCCAGTGATCCATGCAAACAAGCGGTCGGTCGGTCGGTCGGTTTTCGACATAGAACTTTACACATATGTGCGGCAGTCCAAGTCGCCACACTCCATCCACGTAGCACACAAAGCAAGAGAAGAAAGTAGGAGAAATGCATAATATAGACAGTAAACAGAGGTGTGAGACAAAAGAATAGTAATAACGAAGAACAAAACAGTTTCATTTGAAATCATAAGTCACAAGCAGTGGATGCATCTGCGCCATTGAGAACGATTTTGAGCCATGTCACCAATTGTTTCCAACCATTGGTTTTCACCGTTACGAGGACCCCAACCAGGAAGTCTACACCTTCCTACGTGGCTTAGACTAACTGTTGTAGATTTCATTGACTGGTGAAGCCATGTTTTGGTTTGACCGCCGCTAGCTCTTTTCCAGCCTGACCCTATATCAGCTAACATTGCCTGTTTTCGAGGAAGGCGATGACTAGGCATACCTATCACATATCCTAACCATCTCAGTCTATGTAACTTCACAGTCTCGTCGACTGATTTCCCAGCCTTACCTAGCACTCGACGCCTAACCTCAATATTGCCCACCTTATTATACCACTTCACACGGGGTATAGAACGCAGACACCTATGATCGAAGACAGCTAATCTTCTCATGTCTTCCGCTCTCAATGGTCAGGTCTCACAGCCATGTAAACAAGCTGACTGGTTGGGGTCCTCGGGATGGTTAAAAACCAATGAAGGCTGGAGACAATTGGTGGTGATACGGTTCAAAATCGTTCTTACTGATGGTGCAGATGCATTCACCCTTTGCGCTTTATAATACCCAGTGAAATTTTATTGTTCTTGCATATTACTAGTCTGTTTACCTCATATTTCTGTTTATTATCTCTCTTTCGAATCTCTCTTTTCTCTCTTCTCTTGTTTTGTGTGGTAAATGGAGAGAGTGTGTGTGTGTCAACTGGAACTGCTGCCCATCTGTGCACAGTTAGTCAGTCATCATCGGGACCAGGGTAAATAAAGAGGTGTGTAGGTTTTTGCCGATGTTTATGACTAGTGCTTCAGGTGTGTGTGTGTGTGTGTGTGCGTGTACATACGTAAGTGATGAAAAGTTGACTTTTGAAGTGGTTGAATTTAGCCCTGTAGGTTACTACTTTTGGAAGATAACTTATGATGACGTGAATGATTTGAATGAAGATGTTTGCAAATGCAACATTTTATGTTGTTTTGTGTTCACTTTTCATTAGTCGAACTGTATAATGGTCCCACTAAGCGCATTTCCAGAGAACTTACAAGATCCGATGCGATCTGCTGTACGGGCTATATTATGACATAGTTTTACGACAGAAGATAAGGGCCTGGCAACAGATCGTTTATTGAGAGAATCAAGATCTATTTATAGATTTTTATATAGATTATTGTCCGCGGAGAAGCAGCGTCTTCTGATTGGTTGTTTTCTTGCCGAAGGTTATTCTGTACTGCTTGTGACCATTTCCTAGAAAGTTTAGCTATGTGTCTGCGAATCATATTTGCACACGTTAAGTCTGCTGTGATTGGTTGGTGAGTTCCCCAAGGTTAAGCTTTGTTCTTGTTTTTTCTCATGACCCCGATTCGGGACGTGAACATTGACGTAAATTGTTGTCTACAATTTTGGCTTGCAGACAGCTCTCACCACAATAGTAGATTGTAAACGTGTTTTAACTCAAACACTCGGCAGAGGTATTTCATTTATCGGACTATGAGCCATACTTCTTATATGCACAGGCTAAAGCAACTGTAGAAGGATTCGAACCTGGTACTCAATGGCTAAAAGCCGAGTGTTTATTCCACTGACCTCCACCTCCACATAAAGATGGACATATGCTGTAGTAGTTTATCCTTCACACATTACCGAATCATTTTTGTTAGCTCCCAACTGAACTTTTATATTTTATGGATGTGATTTTATAGTATGTACTAAGTTTCCAGAATGTCTCGGACAAATTGGTTACCGGACGCTAAATGACCGCCTTTGCTGTTTACACTCGTAAGTACTAATCGATGTGAAATTGTGAAATGTATTGACTGGACTGATTTCCACGATACTGTGTGATACCCTTTGTTGTATTCCTGATTGAAGGCTTTCAACCCATACTCTAGGCTGTTCTAGTGGTACAGCTTATTGTCCGATGTTTACTTGATTTTCGCAAATAATAGATCTCTGAATCCCATTCCGATTATTTCTCAACACTGGAGGGAGTAATCCGGTATTGTCATCATAAACCCCGCATATGTTAAGTGGGCCCCATAGCACATAATTCCTCATTGAATTATTCATTTGCCCATTCATTAGTGTAAATCAACTACCGCTTTCTTTTCATCCTTTCATCTTTCTTTTTTCCTCTTTCTACTCAGATATGAAGTTGATCTACTGAAAGATAAACTCGAAGATCTTACAGATGCTTATGCCTCCTTGAATAAGATTTTCTTGGAGAATAAACGGGTTAGTTTCAAATTCATACTGGTTTTTTTCACTTGTGTAACTAAACAAAGATTTATTTTCGGTCACGAATTGACTTCAATCACCAGGGAATACTGGGCAGCTGTTTCGCCCTCATTTGGGGCTCTTCAAGAGCACTCACCCATAGTCCCACTAGGAGTCGAAACCAGTACCTCTAGGTTACAAGGCGATCTCGTTGACTATTCAGGTACTGGGACGGAATTCAATGACTCATCAGTTCTAACTTCTGCCACGCATATTGCGCCATCGCCAGCAGATGTTATCGGCCGGTGGGTATCTGTCCTTATGCCCAACTTGATGGACTCCACTGATCATGACTTCCCACTGGAACATCAGGTAACTTTATTCTGTAGTCAGTCAACATTAAGAACTGGATTAATTTTCAACTGTTAGCTTGCAGTAATTTGAGTCGAGTGGGAGGACAGATACTCGCAGGTAACATCTGCTGGCGATCGCGCAATATACGTCGCAAATTGGCAGAATTTAGAATTGACGAGCCATTGGAGATTGCCTTATAACCTGAAGCTCGTGGGTTCGATCCCTAGTGGGGCAGTCACGGGTGCGTAATTCTGAAGGGTCCCAAACAAGGACGAAACAGCTATTCAGTACTCCCTGGTGACTTTCAATGGTTCTCCAACTGAAGTCAGCTTGTGGTTAGACTTAAAATCAAAAAAATCTCCTCAGACCAACACTTAAAGGATTTATTTGTTGTAATTATTAAAGAAACCCACTGCAGAACCATTCGACAAACGATTTGATTAGTTGGTTTTCAGCCGTGTAGGCGTACAAATCCCCTAATGTAATACCTGTTGAAGTAGTGTACAGGTTAAGACGTTGATAAAATTACTTGGATCAGTACAGTTTTGAGTGCGGTTTTTATCATCTGAAGTAGATAAAGTTACTGATTGATGACTTTGTCAATGATATAAACCTTCCACTTCTTTAGCTGGTTCCAATGTGCTTGTTTTACATTACTATTATTATTCCCTTGGGTTCCGGGCGGAACATGGGGCTTCAACAATACATCTCCAATTTGTCTTATTTTCTGCCGTCCTCACCAGCTGGGTCCAAGATTGCCCATAATCTGTCATCTCATCTTCGCACGATCTCCTCCATGTCACCATCGAAATGACGACCCACTCGTCGCTTCCCATTTGGATTCAACTCGAGCGATGGTCTCCTCAACGTGTGCCCAATACATGTCCATTTTTTCCTACATATTTGTCGGGCGATCGGCTCTTGGTTGGTTTGTTGCAGAGTTTCTTGTTGCTTATTCTTTCTGACCGACTGATCATTTGATCTTCAGTATGGGGCCAGTGAAGTGGGCAGCTGTTGATGAAGGTCTGTAACAGGCTGTTGGAAATCCTTTTCGTGACACGCTGTGCCAAGTTTCTGACCCGTATAGAAGTACCGACTTCATACAGTGTAAGAAATAGGCAAATATAGAGTGTGATTTATAATTTGTGTTCTAAGGACTGATGCTTCATTTAGATATTCAGAAATTTATTGCTGGTATCATCCACTTGCCCATAACAAAGTGGTGCATTGAGGTGTAGGGTTTTCACCCTACAACCCATTCAAATAATCTTCACGATGATTACTAATAATTAGGACTTAATGGGTCTGGGAGATTGCAGAGAATGAGTGCCTCTACGCAACTGAGAGTCATTTTGAGTCATATCACCAACAGTCTCGTGCGTCGGTGACACAGCAGTTAGGACGCTCACCGACCATGCACATGGTCCGGGGTTCAATCCCCGTCTGACGCACTCCTTTACCTCGCTAAGCCAGAAATAATGTTGGTAAAGAGGAAAGGTTGGGTATGAGGCTAGCAACCCTATCCTGTAAAAAGAAACAGTGCTACAGGAACTTCAAGCCACTAGCTTGAAGCCCTATGTTCCACTGGGAACAGTCTCAGACCATTGGTTCTAAGTATCTCGTGATAAGACTAGTCAGGCAGTCTACACCTCCCCCTAGGTGACTTGCTCAAAACAAACCGTCAGAGACATCATAGATTAATGCCAAGTTTTGGTTCAACCATCCCTTAACTCTTTACCAACTTAATCATATGCCAGCTAACGTTGCTTGCTGAGTCAGTGGCTTGGTATGCATGACAAATGTCCCAGCCATCCGAATCGACACAGTCCCACAGCCTTGTTGATCGACTTCGTTTTCTACCTAAATACTCACCAATTAATACGGGAGATAGTTGATTTCTTGATGTCTTCCACTTTTAATGGTGATGTCTCACATAGTTAAAAAGAAGGACATAAGGAACTGGTGCGCACTACACATGTTGATAGCCAGATATCACGTCTACACCAATGATTATGTAAGTTGTCAAATGCCTTACCGTGCTGAGATTTCATCAGAAATGAGTCCATTTGAGTTGATGCAACTTACCAAATAAATGTAGTGGGAAGATCTAAAAATGACGGAGGGATGACGTAATATTGATTTTCACAGTTTAGTTTTTCCGGTCTCTTTTGATATTTTTGCTATTGTTTTATTAAGTGTCGTCTTATAAGCTAAAAATGGTGTCGTTTAGCGAAGTTCTCAACTGACATCTGTCTGTTGGTCTTAATTGAAACCTGTCTAGAGAATTGAATTCTCCGAATGGTTTTTTTCCTTCAATATGATCAGTTTAACTCTGTTCCTAGCTGACGAAAATTTTTAACCTTCACCTGTCTGTCATCAGTCCATGAGGTATTTGACCATCGCTTTGACGTAGCCATGTAGGGTGGTGTAGACTGCCTTGTTGACAGCGAATTCAGGATGCTAAGAATCAACGACTTGAGACTATTGATGATATGGCTTCAAATCGTCCTCAATGGCGCAAATGCATTTAGTCTTCGTGACCTTCCATATCCATCAGTACGCACCCACTGGGATCCGAACCTAGGACGTCCCGGTTACAAGTCAAGCTCTTAGACTATCCAACCACTGGGACACGACTCAATGGCCAACCCATGTGAATTCTGACTTCTACCAATTGGTGATTTTAGCCTGACCACTAGCCAATATCATCGGCTAGCACTTATCCTCACTTGCCGAACGAGTAGACCCCATTGGCCACGGCTTCTCACTAGAACTCCAGTCAACCATCTCAATCGATATAATTTCACGACCTCATCCGTTAACTTCTCTTACCAACGTAACACTTTACGCCTAACCTCATTATTATTCAACATATTATTTTTACAAGTTTGACCATGGATTGATATCAGTTAGAGAACCATTGAAAACCAACAGGGAGTACTGGACACCTGTCTCGTCAGCCTAGTTTGGGAATCATCGGCAGTATTCACCCACTGGGGTTGGAACCCAGGACCTTCTGGTTACTAGGCAAGCTCGTATACCATTCAGCCACTTGGACGCGATTCGATGACTGGCCCATGAATTCTAACTTCTACCAATTCGTGATTTAGCGCGACCACCAACCAATTTGATCGGTGAGAAATCCATCCTCACACTTGTCTGGTTGGATTCCATTAGTCACGACTTCTCACTAGAACTCCAGGAAACACCGTCCTGTAGCAATTCACTAGCGAGCAGCATCAGATTAATTTTCAAGGGTTCGTTTGTGGGTATTGGATTTGTTTTTACGAGTTTGACCACGGATTGATATCAGCTAGAGAACCACTGAAGTTGCTTGGAGTTCTAGTGAGAGAAGTCATGACCAGTAGGGTCCATCCAGTCAGAAGTGAAGACAAATATTGTTCCTTCTTCACAAATTTCCTCATCATAGCTCTGAATATCGTTGTTCCCTACTTTTGTGCGCTAAATGGAGGGTAGCAACTTGAACTGTCAGTCAGTCAATCGGTGTGATTTGTTCATATGTGTGAAGTTGTGGCTAATTGGTTTAGGCTCACACTCTACTTCAAATCACTGGGTTCAAACCCTCACACCCCCTCCACCGGCTGAGCACTCCCTCTTTATTTAGGTTTGGGGAGCTGCTTTGTTATTAATAGGCATCCCTGTCACTGTCTCACACACACAACAGGTATGATTCATTATTAGCTGTGCATGGTATAATATTGTTGCAAGTGGGTTGTTGAGTTCAAATTCCAAGTCAATAGAAAAAATGATCAATACAGATGTAAATCTACCAGCAGTCACGAAGATGGTTGTTGCCAGGAGACACAATTCTCTCATTCATGGAGAATTGAAATCAATTCATTTTATGCGCTGGAAGGGGATATTGTCCAGAAGGGGGACGGCAAAAGCTTCGTAATTAAACCAACCAACCAGCTCAGGGAACACAACTAATCGCAAATTATCCATTCATATCACCAGCATTCCCTCTATTGTGTTAAAAAGTTTCAAGCCGATTGAATCAGTAGTAGTGTGGTGAGAGCTGTTTGCTAGCTGAAATTGGTAGGCAGCAATTTACGTCAATGTTTACGTCCCAAATCTTGGTCATGAGAAAAAAAGAAGAACAAAGACTAACTCCTCAACAATGAATCACAGCAGACTTTGCGTGGGCGGATACGATTCGCAGATACATATGGTCTGACCTTCAAAGAAACTGCCACAAAGCGATGACAGATTTAACCTTCAGCGAGAAAACAACCAATCAGAAGACGATGTTTCTCTGCTAACAATAACGCTAATAATAATGTGCATAAAAATCTATAAATATCTTTTCAGCGACTTCATTTTCAAGCTGTACAGTCGTATTTATATTACAGAAATATTTATATACAGGAATATTTAATGGTTCTCACTCATCTTTGCTTTTCACGGTCGAAGAAGAGTCGAATTCCTCGTTTCACTTGCTTGACGTTAAACTAGATAGAAGAGAGAATTAAATGCTGTTAAGGTCAATTTACCGAAAGCCAACATTCACTGGGCAGTACACTAACTTCAACAGTTGGGTGCCGTTAGGGAGAAAGAGAAATCTTATTCATTCCTTATGCTCCAGAATTCATAAAATCTGCTCTACGGAGACAATCGGTAGTGAACTAGATAACCTTCGATCAAATCTCCTTAACAATGGATGTCCTACAAGGTTTATTGAACGTAACACCAAGAAAGAATCCGCCCCTAGACAAATCACAGTGCCAAAGAAAAAACTGTTTATGAGTCTTGCATTCAAAGGTGACACCATTTCTGAATTGATTAGAAATCGTTTATCTAAATGTATTAAACGCACTTTTCCTGCAGCTGACTTGCAACTAGTTTTTACCAGCCAAAATATGATTAGACAATGCGTCAAGGATAGATTACTGCTAATGTCCACATATATGTGCATTTACTCTTTTACCTGCTCCTGTGGAGCTGATTATATTGGACGTTGTAAGCGTACTCTCCGAAAATGTGTAGCTGAACACAATCCGGTTTGGTTAATGTATGGCGAACGTAGAACTGCGAAGTCGTCGTCTATTTGTGATCACCTGTTAGAGTCTGGTCACTCAGCCCGACGTGATTCATCTTTCAAAGTTATCTACATGGCAAAATCGAATCTTCGCCTACCGTAGACTACTTCACCTATCTAAATATGATTGGTCATTAGTATGTACTTTTGTTTTTATTTAACTGAGTAATTGTCATGAACTTTATTTTATTATTGTTAACCATGTTAGTTGTAAAGCGGTTGTAAAGAAACTACGAAATGATATCATCTCGCGAAATTTGTCTTCTTAATGCTTTATCCAAAAGTTTACGTTTTCTTCACTTATGCATAGCCGAAGCTTTAGCTATACATGAACAGAAACCTAAATTATGTGTTCGAAAAACGTTTAGTCAAACCCCTTTCTTTACCTTGGTCATAGTAATGTTCTTTCGAGTTTTTATTTTATTTTATTTTACCACTTAAATTCATTCCACTTCACTCCATATCTTTATTCCTGTCGTAATCGTACTCTTATTTTTTTAAATTTTTAGACAACGCTTGACATTTTGTAATTCATCCACTTCAACTCTACCCCTTATAACATTTTAATTATCGTTATTCTTATCACATACATATATATGTATATTGACTGAGCAATTATTTAGTGCCACTTAATAACTTTTTCTGTAATGTAAATACGACTGTACAGTTGGCTTGAAAGTGAAGTCGTTGAAAAGAAATTTTTTCGCTGAACAAAAAAACTGTGTTTTTACTTATGAATAAATGGGTATCTGTTGATTTTTTCAATAAAGGATCTGTTGTCTGGCCCTTGTCTTCTGTCGTTACATACAGTACTAGTATACTTTGGAGGAAGATATATGCTTCAGGCTTTTATGATAACAAGTTATGTGTCTGCATTGATTATGTGCATGTGTAATGCTACGCCTCCCCTTCCGTGTTCTTTCTTTCCTCCTTCCTTCCTTCTCTAGGAATTATCCTATCAAAAAATGCAAATCATCGAGCTAACTCATCGTCTAGAGTATGCACGTCATCAAGTTGAAGCACGTGACCAATTGATTGTTGAGCATGGTTTAGTATTGGTGGGTGGAGCTTCTGCTGATAGTGTTACGTCATCAGCAACGCAATTGACGTGTTTATCTAAAAATGACGAATCTGTGTCAGGAAATAAATCAAAGTATAATAATGATAATGATAATACAAAAATGATGATGATGAATGGCCTATCGAATAATCATTCCAAATCGAATAATTCTCATTTGCCTTACTCACATCAGAATAATAATGATGATCATAATGATAATATGGATCATACTAATGGTAGTGGTAATGCTAATGATCATGATAATAATAATGATAAGAGAAGGCCTCGTTTGCCTGAAATGGTTCTTATTACAAAATCTACAGCTGAACTATTAAATACCTTGTCAGAGACAACATTAGGTAAGTAGTATATATGTATGTGTGTGTGTGGGTGTCCAATGTTCCACAGTTATTGATTTCTTATTGAACTATGTGTATGTTCAATATGTATGCATAGACGAAGGGTGTTTTTTTTCTAATGTGTAGAGTTTTGTGCTTTTACTTACTTAGACTCTTTTTCTTGTATCGTCCTAAGTTGAATACTATACATACGATTGTTAAACAGCCTGAAGATAGATGAACTCTTGAGTGTATTTCATTATACTGTGAATATGTATGTATATATATGTTATAATATGTTAACTTGTGTGAAGTAATCATTAGTAGATATGATTTATTTGTATGATGTGTCACTCTCTGTGTATGTGTGTGTATGCGTGCGTGCGGTTGGTGTGTGTGTCTGATTGTTCGTCTTGCTTTCAGGTTTTCACCTGTTTTTCATGATTTCGTTTTCCTAATTTGTTTTCATTCATTTCATTCTGATTAGAACATTATAGATAGATAGATAGATAGGATAGGGTTTCAAGGATTGATCTTTAAGGTTTTGTATAGTGGTTTTTTGTCAGAGGTGGCGGCGGTGGTTGGTCTCTCTCTGTCTGTTTTCGACATAGAACTTTGCACCGATGTGCGGCAGTTCAAGTCGCCACACTCCATGTAGCACACAGAGCAAGAGAAGAAAGTAGGAGAAATGCATAATATAGGCACAATAAACAGAGGTGTGAGACAAAGGAATGGTAATAACGAAGAACAAAACAGTTTCATTTGGTATTATAAGTCGCAAGGAGTGGATGCATCTGCTCTGTCATTGAGAACGATTTTGAGCCATGTCACCAATTGTTTCCAACCATTGGTTTTTACCGTCCCGAGGATCCCAACCAGTCAGGAAGTCTACACCTTCCTACGTGGCCTAGACTAACTGTTGTGGATTTCATTGACTGGTGCCATGTTTTGGTTTGGCCGCCAATAGCTCTCTTCCAGCCTGACCCTATGTCACCTAACATTTCCTGTTGTCGAGGAAGACTATGACTAGTCATACGTAACACATGTCCTAAACATCTCAATCGATGTAACTTCACAGCCTCGTCGATTGATTTCCCCTCCTTACCTAGCACTCGACCGAAGTCTAACGTCAAAATTGTCTACCCTATTATACCAATTCACATGGGAGATAGAACGCAGGCACCTATGATCAAAAACTGATAGCCAGCGTCTTCATATCTTCCACTCCCAATGGCCAGGTTTCACAGACATAAAGGAGGGCGGAGCGGACTGTTGAGCAGTACATACACCCTTTGGTCGACACTTAGCCGGATATCACGTCTACGCCAGAGACGGTGTAAACTGGCATATGCGAAACTAGCCCTCTGTATCCGTGCTGAGATTTCGTCAGAGATCAACCCACTGGGGATGGCTGATGCAACTTCCCAAATAAGTGAAGCGGTCAACGTACTCTACCACTTCACTTCCTATTTCTAATATAGGGGTCGGTGTAGTCTTACTTAGACTCTATTTTGTATCGTCCTAAGTTGAATACTATACTGTTGTTAAACAGCCTGAAGATAGATGAACTCTTGAATGCACTTCATTATACTGTGAATATGTATGCATATATATATATATATATGTACTATGATATGTTAACTTGTGTGAAGTAATCATTAGTAGATATGATTTATTTGTATGATGTGTCACTCTCTGTCTCGCTCTCTGTGTATGTGTGTATGTGTGCGTGCGTGCGGTGTGTGTGTTTGTCTGATTGTTCGTCTTCTTTTCAGGTTTTCACCTGTTTCTGATGATTTCATTTTTCTAATTTGTTTTCATTCATTTCACTCTGATTAGAACATTATAGAAAGATAGATAGATAGATAGGGTTTCAAGTATTGATCTTTAAGGTTTTGTGTAGTGGTTTTTTGTGAGAGGTGGCACCGTTGGTCGGTGGTGGTGTTGATGCTTTTGTTTTACGGGCCTGGATCACGTGTGTGGAGCAGCTAGCAAGTAGGAGTCTACCACAACCATTGGGCAACTTGATGTCTTTCTATTCATAGTTTGGCCAAGTTAAAGTGGTGAGATTGGATAGTTGGAGGCAATCGGCGGGAAGCCTCACCTGACCTAGGTTTCGTGCTAGTTGGCACTCACAAGTCCGCAAGGCGTATCTGCAACTACCTTGAAGGAACTCATGTCCCTCCTTCTGAGATTCGAACCCGCGTCACCAGCCAGTGCTGTAGTGAGTTAGAGACGTTACCACTGAGCTATTCGGGCTGGCTCGCGATTGACCTTCTGTAGGACTGTAGTGGATATTTTGAAACCTAGGTCCAAGGCTTCCTGTGGCCGATTGCCTCCAACCATCTAATATCATCACAAACAATGTACACCGTGATGGCAAGCTACCTAGAATGTTGGTCACATTACAACCTGACTGATAATAGAATTCAGTCTGCACCAAAGAGAGGACTAGACGCATTACACTAGTTACTAGTGTCAAATCAAAAAATGGTCAAGTTAAACTTTGAGCACCAGTAAGCACCAATGGAGTGCCAAATGGCCTTGAAACGTTCAGTGAGAAGTTGTAAATAATATCGTAGTCATGAATAAAATATGCTTAATGAAATGTTTGTTATGCTATCAAATGGGATATCTGGCGAGTTTCAGCTTAGATTTAGGGAAGATTATATTGAGGTTTAGGCTGAAGACAGATATTATTAGGTTTAGGTTAACCTAATAAGGATGACATTTGGGGGTTGGCTTGAGTTATATTAAGGTTAGTTTAGGGATATTTTCACGTTAGGAGTATAGGTTAAGGAAAGATTAGGGTAACTGTTAGAGTTAGAGCACCTAGATAATTACCTGCATAGAATGTGGTTAAATTACTGTGTTGACATTCCAGTCCAAAAGTGAAAGGTATTTTGGTCACACGTCAGGGAAAGGCGTATCCTGTGTAACAATTGTGTGCTTTTCAATTCATTATTTTCTTGAATATACACGTATTTTATCCACAAAAATCGTCTTTACCATGTGATTGGTGCTTTCAGAGTCATTTTTCCGTTGGTACTTACTGGTGCTTAAAGTTTAACTTTGCCCATAGTTTAGTGAAATGAATCTAGAACTGTGTGACTTAGGCGATTGAATAACTGATTGAATACCTGGTTGACATGACAATGCAGTGTCAGTGTATTGCACAGAAATGAATTAGTTCGATTTTAAAAAAAATCGAATTCACAATTTACTTAGTTCGAGGTGATTATTTCACCATGGTTACCTTTGGGGAACCGAGTTTGCTGAGATTACAATGTCTATGTGATCTCTCTGCTTGATATTATTAAATGACAATCAACAAACGAAGTATAAATGCATGTCGATAGCCGTCGATATCCGGCTATCGACCAAAGGCCGCGTGTACTGCTCAGCAGTCCGCTTCGTCCTCCTTTATGGCTGTGAGCGAGACCTGGCCATTGAGAGTTGAAGACATGAAAAGCCTGGCTAGCTGTCTTTGATCATAGGTGTCTGCGTTCTATCTCCCGTGTGAAGTGGTATAATAAGGTGAGCACTATTGAGGTTAGGCATCGGTCGAGTGCTAGATAAGGAGGGGAAATCAATAGACGAGGTTGTAAAGCTACATCGACTGAGATGGTTAGGACATGTGGTACGCATGCCTAGACTAGCCATCGCCTTCCTTGACAACAGGCAATGTTAGCTGACATTGGGTCATGCTGGAAAAGAGGCTCTGGTGGTCATACCAAAACATGACCTCATCAATCAATGAAATCTAAAAGTTAGTTTATGCCAGCCAGTCGCGTAGGAAGGTGTAAGCTTCCTGACTGGTTGGGGTCGTCGGGGCGGTAAACACCGATGAAGGCTGCAAACAATCGGTGATATGGCTCAAAATCGTTCCCAGTGGTGGTTCAGATGCATCCACTCCTTGTGACTTATAATACCCAATGAAACTATATTGTTCTTCGTTATTACTGTTCTTTTTACCCCATGTCTCTCTTTACTGTCTCTATTTTGCATTTCTTTTTTACTTTCTTTTCTTGCCTTGAGTCCTGAATGAAGCGTGGCGACTTGAACTGCTGCACATTAGTGCAAAGTTCTATGTTGAAACCAGTCAGTCAGTCATAAATGCATGACACTGTATATACTACTGATTGTCTGAGATGAGTAGTTGTACATCAGTTACACCAACCAGTAGTAGTGTTACTAACCAGGCAGCCAGTCAGGTAAAAGTGGTCTAAGCGTTGGTTGGCAGTTTCTCTCGTTTGTAGCCTGTTTCATCAGCGGTGTGTATCCAACTTTATTCAGCTCAGAAAGAGAGAGCTGAATCAGTTCAAAATTGCGAGCTAATCTGTAAACAGTGAATTTCGGTGTATGATATTACCGGTTTGCTCGAGCTGAATCAGACCGTGTACATCGCTGATGAGCTTGGCTCAAAACGAGCGGAACAACCGTCCGGTGTTAAAATCACTTCGATCTGGCTGCCTGGCTGACTAGCTAGCAAGCACTACTAGTCGGTGTTAGTGGTATACAACTACTGATTTCAGTCAGTTCAGTAGTATGTAGTTTTATGCATGAGTCAATTTAAGTTGATTTTTCATTAGGTTTACCTATTTCAAATATATAACGGTTAGATTTAGTATAATGAGCATTTTGTAGAACGTGTTCAATTATTAACCGTTAGACTGAGTCTTTAAATTCTATAATAGAATAATTCTATTTGATATAATACTCAGTACTGTTTATATACTGTGATAACGTTTTGAGCACAATTTATGTTGCTCATAATCAGATGAAGGTGCTAATATTTAGTTGGAAGGAGGGAAAGATGATTGGTCACTATGGATCCTTCCTTGTTCATCGAATCTACACTGAATACATGCTATAGCAATGATATATCACCAATCCCAGCGAATATGCAAGGTGATATTATCAATAAAACCAAAGGAAATAAAAGTACCAGCATTATCTCATTAAAATCTGAAAGAGGATTATGCCAACGAGCACCGTGATATGATTATGAGGAATAAATT